TGTGGGTGTGGGTGTGGGTGTGGGTGTGGGTGTGGGTGTAGGCGTTGAAATAAACTTGAAGAATAGACGCATCCAAACTGACATCCACATCTGCGGGCACACCCACCAACACCCATATCCACACCTACTCCCACACCCACACCCACACCCACAACCACACATCCACGTCCACATCCACACCCACACCCCACACCCACCGACACCGACACCCACACTCACACCCACCCACACCCACACTCACACCCACACCCACACCCACACCCACACCCACACCCCACACCTATACCCACACCCGATAAATGACATCCCTAGTGTGCAGTCAACAGATCATATATTCATTGAAAAAAAATAATTATAACATGAAGGTGTAATTTTTTCTTAAATGTACATATAATATACAGGTCTTCGTCTCCGATGGTGTGTTTTCACTAGTGTAGATATTTATATAGTACAGAGGCTTTACAATTCTGCGAAAAGAGTGAGGGTGCGGATAAGTTTGTATATGAGTAGTGTAGTTTTTCTGTTCACTTATCCGCACACCTTGATCCTTAACTCATTAGTACCCGCAGGTTTTGAATATTTGTCGGTAGTACTCATGCTGACATCTGAGTATTTGCCCATGTAATGAAAACTAGGAAAAACCGACGGTTTACTGTGGTCAACTGCCAGCTTCTCCAGCTTTAAGAATAAATGACACTCTGATTTTGCAATTATGATTTTTTAGTGAGTATTTATTCACTTGATTGCACACGTTTTTTTCTTTAAATGATAACTACGTAAAATTATACCCATGAGCAGTCACTTATTGATAAGAAATTACTTATTACGAACATATTTATATGCACTTCATTTCGATATTTTTCATGGTAGTCTCTGTAGAAAAGAAATCAAATGAGTGATAGACAACCTCTATTAAACATACCCAGCAAATTGTCTATTGGTGATGATGATGATGACAATCATGCGAGCAAGAAACACATTTTCCCCAATACGTATGATCTAATAAATAAACAACTTCGAGAAAATAATATGAATTTATCATTTTTCATAGTTTTTCTGATTGGCGTCGATGCTTTAGTAGAAAAAAAAAAGATAATAAATATGTAACATTAGATGATGATATTGAACATAGTGGCAAAGATGAAGTAATTGGTGTTTCCAATGTAGTAAGTGTATTCAGAGGACATATAAACTTACTCATGTGCTTGATTTTATTGTAGTTTCGGTTTGCAAATCGTATCGATTTTGTCCTGATGTCCATTGCTATGTGTTGCATAGTGCTAACCGCAGTTTGCGTTCTCGCAAATGTAGTTTTCTTCGGTCGGCTCACAGGATTATTTGCTGTCAAGTCATTTGGGGATAATTGTGATTATCAATACCAAAATTCAATTGTTTCAATTAAGGACCATAAAACATATCCTCAAGGCATCGAGTTCAATATATTCGACAATGTTACTTTGCATCAGTAATTTACTACAAACTACTATTAGTTACTATACATTTTATTTATTTTCTTTTGGTATTTTTCACTTTAGACTGCGCCATAATAGTAATGTAATTTTGTTATCACCCTTAGCCACATCAGTGTCTTCATTTCGAGAAAAAGTTATGAACATGGTTCACTGGTTGCTTAGTAAGTAATATGAATGTCATTATTTAGTCACAACAAATAATGAAAATTGCCTTTTTTTTCTCTGTCGATGTAGTTACTGGTGCTATCGAACTTCTGGCCTGCTTTATCTCATATTGCACTTGGACCATTAGTATGCAACGACAGACATTTCGTATGAATGTTTCCCTCTTTAAATCGCTTGTTCAACGTGTAAGTCAAATATACTCACATTTACAAAAAAAATTCCCGAAGTTTAGTCGATATCTTTTCTTAACATTGCTATAAGTTTATGACATCTTTTGTTCTTTATTTTAAAGAAATCCTCACTATCACTCACTTAGCTATTCGAGTCAACCTATGAAATAAACTAACATATCTAGATAAAAGTTATATATATATACCTAGAGATACCTATATTTGTAGAACTTCTAGATCTGAATGTTAGGATTCAGGACAATAGTACAAACGTATTTTCAAGCTCGCTGTCATCCACATAGTACATGCTTTCTTAGCAGTTGATGCATATATCATTGCTGTGAAGTTTTATAGAACATTTGCGATCATTTATTGTCTTCCAAGGAATTTTCAAATTCACTAACTAGATGATAACTTTACATTTATGAAGACAGACATGTTTAATATTGATACACTTTTACAAATATTACAACTAGAAATATTTTTAGAATATTGAAGTTCATATAGTGTAATTCTAAAACAATATTAAAGAAATATTGATGGACTCATATATTGTTATTTCAATTGTATATTTATTCCCAAGATTATCATGTGTGGAAACGAGCTCACTCTGCCCAGAGATGTGACACTTCAACTTGGAGTAGACACTTGTATCTATGGAAGTTTGCGTACAATTCAATGGATATACCCAGAAATCTCTGCAGATGTCACCTTCGGATTTCAATGATTTTTTTGCACATCGATACGAGATAGTATTCTGCTGAAAATCAATTAAAGATTTCTGTTCTTGCTGAGACTTGACGGAGCTATTCAATTTTTAATATGCCTATCTATCAGAGACCTCTATGAACTTCAGACTTTAAAAAATAGTTCTGTCAAGTCTGAATAAGAACTGAGACCCTCTGAGATTTTCTATTAAAATACTATTCAGTACTTAAAGCCAAAAAATCGTTGAAATTGAATAGAAACATCTGTTAATGTTCACTCGTTAGGTTACAGTTATAATTGAGCTTGATATTCAACGGAAGGAGTCAGAGTGAAGTTGACATTTGCTTAAATCAGAGTGGAAGTGAAGTTGATGTTAACAGATATTTATTAGTCATAATTAAATTTCTATTGACCTGATAAATTTGTCAAGGGAAAATAAAAACTTGACAGGAAAAACACCGACTAGTGGTACAATTACAAAAGGATTCAACTTTATGAAATATAATCTTTTAGAATATAAGTTTTAAAGGCAGAATAGTAGTAGGATTTTCGAAAAATATAAAGTTGAAGTTTAACTGGAATTTGGAAAATATAGATGGAGCTAGATTCATGATATAGGAGTGGAGTTGGAGTAACATTCAGTCGAATTTGACCATCTCTAACTCATTCTCTCTCTTTGTTATTAGAGCATTTCATATATGGATACCAAACCGACTGCCCAACTCAATGCTCAACTATTTGAGTAATCTATTGTGATATTTTATCTCAAATAACTCTATCTGATTTAATTCTTGTTTAGTAACATTTCAACGATCGAGAAAGGCATTGGTCTTGAATTGGTAATATTGATGGGAACATGTCTAACTACTACTGGTTCAATAATAGCATCTTTTATTGTCAACTGGCAATTGACTTTGATCATGCTATGTTTGCTAGCTTTGCTCATAGGTAGCACATTTGTGTTTTCTAAGGTATGGAATGTTGTTCAATTAATTAAATCTCTATAAATTGTCACAGGTCGTCGCTAATGAAGCAAAGAAACAGTTAATGGCATACTCGAAAGCAGGACAAATCGTTCAAGAAGTGTTTAGTTCATTGCGAACTGTTCTTTCTCTCAATGGTAGTAAATTTGAGCAAAAACGGTAAGTGAATATATAAAAACAAGTTTACTTATTCAATATCACCAAGCATGTTTTTATTTTTATTGTATTTAGATACGAAAAAGAATTGTATTCAAGTCGTTCGAGTAGTATACGTTACGGTGCTATGCTTGGGCTTTTTCTTGGATTGATAGTTCTGACAAGCTATCTGACTTATGCCGCTGGTTTCATCTTTGGTTCTCTTCTAATGTCACACAAAAACTATCATAGTTTGAATATTAGTGATATTCTTATCGTGAGTAATTCACATAATCAGTCAATAACCAAATGAATATACGATTACTATTTTAATGTAGATCGTCTCTATGTTTGTGCAAAGTTCGGTGTTCCTCAGCACTATTACTCCTTTCATTCAATCATTTTCAGAAGCTCGAGGTGCAGCATCATCAGTATTTCGACTTATTAATGAGGTAAATTCAAGTAAATTCAGATCTCATATTGATAGAAATGTTTTGTATTTATTTACATGATATAGGGAAATGACGTAAATATCAATGAAAACGATATATGGAACGAGAATACAGAATCGATGTATAATATCACTGGTGATATTGAATTTGATAATGTAAATTTTATGTATCCATCTCGAAAAGATGTACCAGTTCTGCATAATCTCTCTCTCATTGCTCGTGCTGGTCAAACGACTGCTCTTGTTGGTTCAAGTGGCTGTGGTAAGTCTTTTTTTTACGAAATAGACATGTTAACATTATTTCATTTGTGTATATAATTTATTCATAGGAAAAAGTACATGTATATCAATGTTTCTTCGTTACTATGAACCTTCATCGGGTCGAATTACAATCGATGGTCGACCAATAACAGACTACAATATCAAACAACTTCGGCAAAATATTGGAGTTGTTAGTCAAGAACCTGTATGCTTTTTTTCAGTTTTCATTTGTCTTTTTTTATTTGATTCACTATTGAAATAGATTCTGTTCGGTATGAGCATTTATGAAAACATTCGTTTTGGTAAAGTAAATGCAACACGAGCAGAAATTGAACAAGCAGCACGAGAAGCAAATGCACATCATTTCATCATGCAACTACCAAATGTTTGTGCCAAATATTCGTCCTCATCTATCTACCTCTATATATATAATATTTCTCGTTTAGAAATATGAAACACTTGTTGGCGAACGTGGCATGCAGTTAAGCGGTGGTGAAAAACAACGTATTGCATTAGCTCGTGCTCTTGTCAAACAGCCTACCTTCCTTTTACTTGATGAAGCAACAAGTGCACTTGATAATGTTAGCGAAAAAATTGTTCAAGAAGCACTCGATCGAGCATGCAAAGGTAACAATGATTTTTTTCTATTTATCCCATTGACATATCATTCTGTATAGATCGTACAACTATTGTTATAGCTCATCGTTTGACTACAATTCAAAATGCTCATCAAATATATGTATTAGATAATGGAAATGTGATTGAACAAGGTACACATGAAACATTGATGGCAATAGAAGGAGGCAAATATCAAGCAATGGTCAAACGTCAACAAATGGAAAGAATAGATGATGATAAAGATGATATAATGGGCATACAAAAAACAACAGAAGAAGAAGAAAAGTCGATATGTATGTTAATATTCTAGTAGTAATTGTCTTCACTTTTCTTTCTTATTTTTTTCTCGAATAGTGGAGCGCTCTGCTTCGCTTAGCGATAGTCAAACTGTTGATGTGAACGAAGTACAAATACTACTATGATTATTTATGAAAATCATAATTGATAATCTCTTTTTTAGCAAAGCTCAAAAACATTCAGAAGAAGATTTGCCCTTTTCAGACTCTTGTCAATGAATAGTCCTGAATGGATCACAATCTTGATTGGTTGCATAACGTGTGTAATTTTTGGAGCATTTCAACCACTCTACGCATTTTTACTTGTCAGAATAGTCAATGTAAGTAATCTATCGACAGAAATATTGTTCAAAAACATTGACGATCTACATTGTTTTATATTGATTTGTTGATTGTGTAGGCATTCAAATATTGTTCAACATCTGAACGACGTCGTCAAGTGTTGATTACTAGCTTTCTCTTTTTACTTTTGGGTGTTCTTTTATGTATTATTCGGATCTTTCAGGTAAAAAATGTTATTTCTAAATCTGATCAATGATTTATTTACTCTTTTCTATAGTATACAGCTTTTGCCATATCAGGATCGAAGTTGACACAACGTATTCGTTCGAAAGCTTTCGCATGTCTACTTCGCCAAGAAGTTGCTTATTTTGATCGACTTGAAAATAGTTCTGGTGCGATTTGTGTTCGTCTTTCTTCTGATGCATCAGCTGTTCAAGAAATGACTGGTACACGATTAGGAGCCATTTGTGAAGTTCTCTCATTGTCAGCTTTTGGAATTCTATTTGGATGCATCATAAGTTGGCAATTAACATTCATCGTTTTTATTCCCGTTTTAATCATGTTTATAGTCACCTTTGTGGAAGTGTTGTTGCGTATATGGATGATACAACAATCTAAGTACCTTATTGGACGAGCAAGCACGGTAAGATCAGATTTTAACTCATAATATTGTTTTTGATAGGAAAATTATTTTGTCCTGATTTGTTTGATCAATCAAATACATTACATTGATTTTGTCTTTTACTTTTGCAGCTTGCTGTTGAAGTTATTCACAATATGCGTACAATAAAACAGTTGTCAATAGAGAAGGAAGTGTTACGACAATATTCTGAACTTATTTATGAAGTATTAATGTTGGTCAATCCAATATTCTAGATGTATAAATGTTTAATCAAATCTTGTTTTCTCATAGATCGTCTTGGAAATCTCAGATGCTATATGCAGTAACATATAGCATATACTGGATAATAGATGCATACACTATGGCATTTTTGTATTGGCGTGCTCTCGTTCTTGTTGAAAGGAATGAACTCACTTCGAATCGTATTATAATGTAATTGAAACCACAGTTTGATAATCTAGAAGCACTGTTTCATTATTTTTTCAATTTATTAGGGTCACAGGTTTGGCGTTTTTATCGATGCGAACAATTAGATTAGTCGGACTACTGTAACACTCTTAATCTCTATTATGCTTTTTTCTCTTCTACTGTCTCCATTCTAGAGCTAGAAATATCGCTGCATCAATCTCAGCTGCTGAAACTTTTTTTGATTTATTTGATCGAAAACCAGCTATTGACAATACATCTACTGAAGGACAAGTATTGGTAAGAAAACATAGAAGATAACTATTTTCTTGCAATCATACACACGCCATCAATATCATGTGTTTTGTGTAGGTTGATTTTCGTGGAGAGATAAAATTTGATCAAGTTAAATTTATCTATCCAATTCGGCCAACATCTATTATTCTTAACAAATTTCAATTGAATATCAAACCAAGTAAGTGAGATAAATTTCAATTTAATCATGTTTTTCTTTAAAATTTTTATTCACTGATAAGGTCAACGTGTAGGTCTTGTTGGTATGTCTGAAAATTAAATATTTCTTTTAAATCTTAACAATATAATACCATGTGTACAGGTACATCCGGTTGTGGAAAATCAACAATTATTCAACTATTGGAACGATTCTATGATGTTACAAGTGGTCGATTAGTTAGTATTTCTTCAATGAATAGTTTAAATAATCATATAGAACTTGTCTACTTAATCTAGTTTCTTGATGGTGTTGATATTCGACAACTAAATCTGCAATGGGTTCGTTCTCATATTGGTCTTGTTAGTCAAGAACCAATTTTGTTTGATTTAACAATTGCTGAAAATATAGCATATGGCTTAGAAAATGTTCCAATGGAAGATATTATCAATGCAGCAACTAGAGCTAATATTCATCAATTTATTGAGCAATTACCTCAGGTTAAACAATACAAAATTATATAATGTATATATTATACTATTGAATGATATTTTGTTTTAGGGTTATGAGACAAGAGTAGGGTTGAAAGGTAGTTTTCTGTCAGGTGGTGAAAAGCAACGTATTGCTATTGCTCGAGTTCTTATTCGTCGACCTAAAATATTGCTTCTAGATGAAGCTACCAGTGCCATGGATTCATACAATGAACAAGTACATTTGTTTGTTTTACTATTTATTAATCAAAGATTCATCTTCATTTTTCAATTATAGCTTGTACAAGAAGCTCTTGAACAAGCTCAAAGAGAAGATTCTAGTCGAACATCACTCATTATTGCTCATCGTCTTTCAACAATTCGTTCATGTGATTTGATTTGTGTACTTGATATGGGACATATAGTAGAAAGTGGTACTCATACAGAATTGACAAAACGACGTAGAGCTTATTATAAAATGCTTGTTCAAAACAATTTACAATAATCATCAATGAACTATTTTGAAAATTAAAATACACTTTCTTTAAACATTAAGAAAAACTTTGTCTAAAAATTCTAACGCATAATATAGTTATATTGTTCAATTTACTGCATGATTATTATCTTTCATAAGAAGTTTAGTGTTTAATCGAATTGCAGGATGTTATATTAAAACTTTTTTACTTATTAGTCATATTTGAAGAGAGTACAAACAATAATGATTCCAATAACTACTTAGAATTTGATTAATTGATACAAAAACAATTAAATATAAAAATAGTAGCTTGATGCTTTCTAGTGTAGTGATTGTGCCAATAATGGTACACCCACACCCTCCATCAATATCTATGTGTGTTCTATCTTTTCCTTCCCGCTGTTCTTCATTCTCTATAAATGTCATTAACTAATCATATAGTGTATACTCTAAATTGTTATCGTGCTCTTCACACGTAAACACATCTATCTTCTCGGTATGTGTGTTTCATGTATGCACACATACGGACGTGTGTACAATTCCCTTTCTCTCTTTCCTTTTTTTCTCTTTCGGTTCTTAGATAATTACGTTCTCTCCATGGGAGAACAAGCATATATAAAAGAAAGTCTATTGAATAAAAGAGGCAGTTGATACACGATAACACTTTGTCGTTACAGTGATAAATCCCTAAATGTTGACGATTTTATTGCTATTTATTAGTCCAATTAATGGTGAAATGATATCTTGATTAAATCATTGAAAAAGATAATTTCTGTCGAATTTTTCTCGATTTCTATTAAAACTTTCAATTTTGTGATGACTTTTCATAATTCATAATTTAGGTTCTATCGAAATACTCTTCGATTATCGAATTGACTAACGACTATCATTAGTTTGATATCTGAAAAATCCCACAAACATAGCAATGATGATTATGAAGTGTTCCAACCTATATTGGAGAAAGAAAATAGAATATTACATGACTTTTGCTCGTGAGTTGCCTAATTCGAATTCGAATATAAATGAACATCTTAGCGCATAATATCAATTCGAAAATAAATGGAAACTATAGAACACTCACATGCAGAGATACCCATGAAAGTTTAGGATAATAGGGAAAAAATTATTTTTATTTAGATATAATTTATAAGTTATACAGGGTGCGTAAGAATGTTTTTCCAAGGAGGTAACACTATAATTTCAAATAGCATACATAACTAATTTTATACCAAATTACAGCGCGTCAAAAATGGTTTTTTTGACACTAAATTGTAAGAGTTATCAAAACTTTTTGATGTCG